TTTATTTGTTATCTTAAAAACCAGGACGATGGATAAAGTCCAAAAACCCAATATATGAGTGTGTTATTCTATTGTGTTCGTCGTCGATTCATTAAGGAATATTTACTTGAGACTATTTCTTGTTTTACTTATCCCTGTAGCATTTCATTTGTGGCCTGGGTACTATGCGTTTTTGTGCAGTTTGTAAGGATGTCGATATAGTGTTATTATCTCTTCTGTTATGTATATCCCATGGGCTTGTAGGGTTTTCCCAGCTGTTAGACTAGTTATGTTGTTAAGTGATTTGTCTGTGTAGATAATACAGTGTGTTTCTAAATTATTATCAGGGTTGCCGTGGCCTTTAATTTCCAAGAACGGAATCAACAGAAGATTCTACTTACGGAATATGAAAGTGCTATTCAACAAGTTTTATAACCACAGAAGCAATGCTGCATAATGTTAAATAACTTGAACACGCGCCCTTTTCGTAGCACGTAAGACGTCCGAGCTTACTGCATTCGATCAACATCTTCCTGCGAAGTACTCTGCCTTCCCGCTCCATTTCGCTACAGAACATTACCAGTCTCTTGAGACTGCTTTAACCAACATCGGTTAGCATTATCTGAAGGTGGGTCTTTTGCATATTGAGTTATGTAACTACGCTGTATTTTGATAATCGATTTTGTTTCGAAGAACCGGAATAGGCACATTATTTTCTTTTTAACAGTCACCATTTGAGGTATGACGTCAAGTTATATTTCATATTTCGTACGCAGTTTTATTTTCTTATTTCCGGTTTGAAAATTTTAGGCCACCGTAACCCCGACAATAATTTAGAATTACCTTGCATTGTCTACACACAAAAATCACTTAACAATATTAGTGTAGATATTATCTAGTAAGATAGACAACACCTGATGAAGGCTGTATGTGGCCGAAAATACACGTATATTGAGGAGCAAGGGCCACTAGATAATAAGGTGCATTTACCAATTTACCAGTGACAGGGATACTTGGCCAGTACATTTGATGGTACCAGGGAGAGCCAGTTAATAGGTCACAAATTGATATAAAACATAAAACATGTGATATTCGAATCTGGAGAAAGCATTTATCGACATATTATCCACCAACACTAATACACTTATCCCATCGCTTTACCATTGCGTGAAATCCACAGCACAGAAGTCTTTTGACTCTTGTCCTTATCCAATTTCACACCTCCGTTTCAACCCCTTGGGTGGGTGATCAGCGTCTACCTGTACACAAACACAGAAAAACGCACATACACACACAAACACCAAACACCCATGCCCTAATTCGGATTCGAATCCACGATCCCGGCTTCCGAGCAAGAGAAGACAGTGCATGCCTTAGACCCCTAGCTACACATAGAAAACCTATTACGTCCATTACAGCTGTTTTACTTCCATTTGTGACCTATTTACTGACTCTCCCTCATAGATGTGTAGATCACTGCGTTACAGGAGATGCTCACACTGGCTTCACAGACTGGAGTAAATGGCACGAACTGGGAGGGAAGGCATCGGGAGTTCACACACAATACTGCCAAGTCGTCTCCATAAGTATTGTCTCAGCAAGTCATGGAAAGCCTCTCATCTGTTCACTCAACAAACCTCCGAGACATGATGCCCCTCTCCTTTCTCTTCCTGCTCTTATACATCTGGGTTCATCCGTCTCGACATCAGTCTGTTAGCATCTGCTCACGCTGGTTTCTCGCCTTTTTCACCTTTTTTCATCTACCCTGAAGATGGAGGAGATGCGTTCCTTCGAAACGTCGGTTAACGCAATATCTACACGGCGCCACATCCCAGAAGACTGCTTTCTTCAAATTTGTATACGGTTTATAATAATTAATACAGATCCTCCTGCGAATGAATCACCCTGTATAAGAATTCAGTGTTCCTGCAAGACGCCACTTACCGGAACGTTGAGTTGTGAGTGTGACATTGAAGCTGGACCCAAGTAGTCCATATTGGTATAATAGGCACCGTAGTTCTGGTGAGGTGGCGGGTAACAGTTCGACGACGCCAGAGATCCCTGCGTCGTTCCCGTCGTTGCAGCGCCACTACCGCCTCCACCCCCTGCTGCGGAACTCACACCGACACTAATGCCCGCGTAGCCGCTGCGATCCAGACAACTGTCGATGGAGGCTGGGCTCCAGATAGGCGCGTTGCTAGTGTTGTACAGGGATGCCGGGGGGGTGCTACTGAGCAGGGGCTTGATATAACCGCCAGCCGGGGAGTCGCGGTGATGGGCTGCGGGAACTACTGACGTCGGCGGCGAGCTTGTGGTGGAGCTGGGGTTAGTGTTGTTGTTGTTATTGGTGGGCGGCGGAGACTTGTTGCACACGGACACAGAGCCGGATGGCTTGCTCTTACTGCCTGAGGAGCCTGACGAACGCCCCGCGCTGCTTGTCTTCTCACCGCCGTTCTGCTGTTGCTGCTGCTGGTGCTGCTTCTGCTGCTGGCGGCACTTGGCCCTCCGGTTCTTGAACCAAACCTGCAAACACAGCGCAGTTCAGAACTCTTACTGTAGTGTGTATGCCTCCAGCTGCGTGACCGCCGTTTGGTTTGAACCCTTACACCTTGTTACTCTACTATCTTCGATATTGAAGTGAGCAGTCTTCTCGGATGTGGCGCCGTGAAGATAGTGTTAACCGACGTTTCGGAGGAACATATCGCCTCCATCTTCAGGGTATAAGAGAAAATAAGAAACTCCGCAAGCGAGGAACTGGCGCGAGCAAGTGCTCACACAGTTCCTCGCTTGCCTTTTTCTTCTACCGTAAAGATGGAGGCGATACGTTCCTCCGAAACTTCTGTTAGCACAATAACTACACGGCGCCACATCTCAGAAGACTGTTTTCTTCATAGTCACCCCCGTGAAAACCTCAGATCTTACATCTTCGATATTGTTCTCCCATCTACTCCTAGGTCTTCCTAATGTCCTTATTCCTAAATTTTTTCGAACAAATTTCTGTATGCACTTATCTCTCATAAGTGCTTTATGCCTCGGATTCTTTTCCTTCTTGAGTTGACCAATGTCACAACCCTGGTCAGAGAGCACAAGTTATGAAGCCCCCCCCCCCAGTAACAGTTTTCTTATCCTCCTGTCACTTCTTCCCTCCTCAGTCCAAACATTACCCTGTTCTCAGACACCCTCAGTCTGTATTCCTCCCTTGATGTGGTAGATCAGGTTTCACACCCATACAAAGCCACAGTCAAGATTATGGCTATTCACATTCTGATCTTCACGTTTTTATGTTGCAGACGACACAGAATGATATCGTGGCATTCTGTTTAAGGTAAGAACTGTGAAGCCAACTAAGAGAGCTGTTCCTAGGGAACTGTTCTGCAAACACGTCCGTTACTAGGCAACAGATTCGTAACATGCAAAAATGCAGTAACTGGGAAGCGATGTTCTATGCTCGGTCCGTGCTATGGATACGTGATGCAATAGTAAAACTGTTGAGAGAGTTGTTTTCTGTGCAGTTCGTGCCGACGTGTTATAAGAAGGACAAATCTAAAATTTAGTGAGTTGTAAGACAGTCGCCGGCCAGTAAGGACTTAACACGGAAGCTGAGGGAGCTATAGCATTGGAAGCAGTTAGCAGGTGACAACCGGTGAAGATACAGCGGACTGAGAGGGCAGTGCGTGTCCCGACCGAGATTCGAACTGAGTACTTCCCGAATACAAGTTTTGGGCATTACCTCTAAAAAGACCTTTTCAGAAAATAATTAAGATACACACATTGGTGACAAAATGGTAGATGGAAATGCGACAGGATTTTCCGGGAGATATTTCATGATTAGAATTTTATTCGATTGACTCTGGATTGAATTCGGTTAGTTCACCTCCCTGACAATGAGTGTTCGTGTTTTATATTGTAAAAGCACAGCTACCAGCGGATACACACGGTGTTTAATTAAGCACTACGCATGAAAACTTACGCGAGAGGCATTCTTAACCCGGGAGCTATGTGGAGGTGAATGGTCAGACTAAAAAACCTGCCACATTACTCCCGGAGAAGCAGTCGCGGTACTCAAGATGTAGAAGGGTGTGTGGGCCCCAAAGCCAGTCTGGATTTTGCCGAGGAAAATAAAATCACTGTCACGCCCTGAGTTGAACACTAACTTGGTTTTCATACTGCCCGTAGCTCCGTAAACTTATTGACTGAAATAGTGTGGTTCTGCTACATGCACATTAACGTAACCCACTACATTACAGTGGTCACTATATGCACCGCCTGTTTTAACGTTAAAGAAAAATGCATTATTCCCACAGATTTAATTGATGTGTTCCTTAGGATTCTCACAATAAAAAGCGACTGTTTTCCCAAACAGCATTAACCGGTTGGGCTCTGTAGCGGAGACGTAATGTGTTTCCTGTGAGGTACGGACTGAATTCTTATATATTATTTGGAAATGTATTTGTGTGTTCCGTATGGTTCTCACAATAAACAGCGACTGTTTCCCTAAACAGCATTATCCGGTTGGGCTTTGTAGTGGAAACTTAGTGAGTTTCCTGTGAGGTACGAACTGAATTTTTAAAAAACAAACATTGTTTAGAAATTTGGTGTGTTGGTGTAAGGGAAGAAAACAGACTGACGGTTTAGGTGAACAGGGCACTGAGGGGAATATTTGGACTAAGGGGAGGAAGATGTGACAGCAGTAATGGTGGCAACTGCATAATGAGAAGTTTCATGACGTCTAGCCAAATATTGATAAAATGACCAAGTCAAGAAGGATGAGCTGGGAAGGGCACGTAACATGCATGAGAACGGACACAACTTCGTACACAGTTTTGGTTGAAGTACACTAAGGAAAGAATAGAATGCGAAAGTGTGAACTGGATTCATCTGGCTTAGTAAGGCGGCTAATGGGCTCTCTGAATAAAGATATGAATAGTCAGCTTCTGCAGAACTCCTTCAGCAGCTGAGTAACTATCAGCTTCTGAAAGACTCAGTTATCATACTCGTATATGAACATCATTCAAGCGGTTAGACCTCAGACAAAGAAAGGAACTGAACATCACGGAATTGAGTCAGTATAGCTTGGTCATTATACTAACAGAGTACGCCCTGGACGGCCGAGGGGTCGGAATTCGAGTCCCGGCATGGAAAAGGTTTTTTCCTCTTCACGTCGTTCAGGCCGGTTCTGGGGCCCACCCACCCTCTTATCCAATGTTCAACATGGGACTTTCCCTCCAGAGGTAAATCGGCTGGGGCGTGAAGCTGATCACTCACCATCTAGTGCCAAGGTCAAGAAAATGTGGTTCTATACATTCACTTCCCCATATGCTTTAATGGCGTAGTGCTTGATTAGTTTAGCACAAGGGCAACTTTACATGAAGAAGGTGTGACTGTACCAAAAACCAGTCGCGCCATATCTTCCTGAACAGTTTCTGTTCTGGCCTGAAGAGGGAAAGAAGCCAGAAGAATGACAGGGCCCTACGGCGGGAAAGCTATCGATTTTACGAAGAGGAGGTTTACGTGTAACAACACGAACCGCTGCGCATCGAGATGTCTGCCTCTCGCGGAAACCGTATCACAGAGCACCTCAGCACACAGATAATCGGAACGTCTCAGAAATGCTTCTCACTGTGTGAACTGTACAACAGCTGTTGCTAGGGAACAGTTCTGTGGGCACTTTTCCCCGGCAACCAGAAAACACGCAATAATGAAAGAGACGGTTTCTGTGCTGTCCGTGTCGGGCAATACAAGGTGTGGCAATAAAGAAACCGGATTCATGCTCTAACCCTTTATTAAAAAAAAATCAGACAGTCGAAATGTTATCCCCTTCAATGTAGTCCCCTCCCCGATCCCTACACCGCTCCATGCGAATTTTCCACTGTTGGAAGCAGTGCTGCAGGTCATCTTGTGTTATGCTCTTCAAGAGTTGCGTCGCTTTTGCTTTCACTGCATCCACGGACTNGGCTTTGTAAGCCTGGACTGAGAGAGGACGTGTATATAGTGCACAAGGAAGAAATCTCAATAACATGCCATATGTGCGGTACGTAAACTTGAAGTTGAAGCCTATTCTTATGAGCCAACCCCATCTTTTGGTCAGAGAGTGTGTTACATAAGGACTGTTACAACAAGAGTCCAGCTGAAAGAAAAAGAAGATTGTGATCGTGAATCCAAAGGGCTTGGTAGTAAGACGAAATATTGGCCGTTAACCGCCCGTCGCAAAGTAACCCAGAGCTGCATTTGTGGGAAGTGAGAACCTGGTCGCTGAGGCCGGGGACAGTTCGGGGACCAAGAGGAAGGGGAATGTCCGCAGTTGGAAGCCGCTACCAAGTAACGATTATTGAATACTGAGAAGGCTTTATGTGTGCAGCAGTTACAGTAGTCTTTGGATTGTGTAACCCAGTGAGAATGTCACAGTTATTTGTAGTTTCGTTCTGCAATTGCCCCATCAATCCGATTACCAATCCAAACCCCGTCTATAGTCACATTTGTCACGTGACAATATCCTTAAATGACAATGCGATACACATAAGTTTTTCCTAAAACCTGCGATGTTATGTAGTCTTAGACGGGCCTCATCGTCCTTAATTGTAACTGAGTGCCCTTGGATTTTCTGGTGGTTATGTAAACTGGATACGCAGTTACCTAACCAACAGACAGTCGCGGGTCCGTATTGGTGAAACTATTTCATCGCCCTTTGAAGTATTGTCCGGTGTTCCACAAGGATCTGTTCTTGAGCCTCTGCTTTTCAATGTCTATATAAACGGCTTGTGTGATTCAATTAAGCACTCCAGGTACCTACTCTTTGCAGATGACATTAAAATTTACCGTGCTATTAGCTCTCCTGAAGATTGTAATCTTTTGCAATCTGACATTGACTGTATACGTAGCTGGTGTGCAGCGAACTATATGAAACTGAACGTTGACAAAACCAAAGTTATCATGTTCTCCAGGAAAACTAACTATTTGATATACGCGTACAAACGTCTTTATTTCACTACAACTTGAACTTATTCAGTGAAACACCTGGGCCTATATCTTGATTCTTAACTTTATTTTCATGCTCATGATAATTTTATACTTTCACACTGTATTAAGATGCTAGGTTTAATTCACAGTATCACATTTAACTATTCAACCCTTGGATGCATGCTCATATTATACTTTACTTTAGTTAGATCCAAGGTTGAATACGCTTCAGTAGTTTGGAATTCCATTACGTCAACTGATGCGAACAAACTAGAACGCATTCAGCAGAAATTTACCGCTCTCTGTTTTAAACATTTTTTTCCTCAAGTTGATTACTGTTACGATTTTGCTTTAGAACAATTGAAATTGCACACCTTGCATAAGAGGAGATATCATCTTGATGCGTTCTTCCTTATTCAAGTTTATCGTGGTTCTGTACTTTGCCCTTCTGCTTTGGAAATTGTTGGCCTTCGGGTCCCTGTTCTATATATCCGTGACTTTCATATGTTCAATGTCTGTTCTGTTAGTAAAAACTGCCCCTCTGCTAGATGCGCTTCTGCTGCTAA